GAATGTGGGAAAGCCTTTACTCAACACTCAAGGCTTATTCAACATCAAAGAATGCATACTGGTGAGAAACCTTATGAATGTAAGGAATGTGGGAAGGCCTTTAGTAGTGCCTCAACACTTACTAACCATCACAGAATTCATGCAGGCAAGAAACTCTATGAATGTAAGGAATGTGGAAAGTCCTTTATTCAGAGCTCAGAACTTATTCAACATCAGAGAATCCATACAGATGAAAAACCTTATGAATGTAATGAATGTGGGAGGGCTTTTAATAAAGGCTCAAACCTTACTAGACATCAAAGAATTCACACTGGTGAGAAACCCTATGACTGTAAGGAATGTGGAAAGGCCTTTGGTAGTCGCTCTGACCTTATTCGTCATGAAGGAATTCATACTGGGTGAAAGATAAGCCCTGTTGATAATCTTTATAATAATATCTTAAAAACAGGTAATGGGGAAAAAAATAAAGCAGTGTAGTAGTTTTTTAGGCTACTGTAACAAAGTACCAAAGTACCAAAATTGGGTGACTTAAAACAACAGAAATGTATTCTCTCACAGTTTTGGAGCTTTGAAATCCAAAATTAAAGTTGTTGGTAACGTTGATTCCTTCTGAGGACTCTGAGGAAGAATCTGTTCCATGTCTTTCTCCTGGTTTCTGGTAACAGCAATCTTTGACATTCCTTGTCTTGTAAATGCATCACTCCATTCTCTGCCTCCCTCTTTACATTGCATTCTCCCTGTGTATATATGTCTCTGTCTTGTATAAGAGGAGACTCTTATACAGGACATCAGTCATACTGGATTAAGGCTCACCCTGATGACCTTATCTTGATTACATCTGCAAAGACCTTATTTCCATGTAGGATCACAATTGCAGGTGCCAGAGGTTAGGGCTTCAACATAGTTTAACCCATAACACTGTTAACATTGTTTTTCTAACATATTTGTACTTTTCTTTTATACATAATTGGTTGAATGTATTTCAAAATGTAAATTCAAGGTTTAAGTTAAACCTCCCTTCCCTTCAAAAAAGATTCTGTCCCAAACTACTTCTTAAATAATTCTTTCCTCCCCATTGTTTTATGCTACTTCTTGGTTATATATTTGAGTTTGAGTTTGTTAGCTTAGTTTATTTTTTTTTTTATTTTTTATTTTTTTTAAAGATTTTATTTATTTATTTGAGAGAGAATGAGAGAGAGCACATGAGAGGGGGGAGGGTCAGAGGGAGAAGCAGACTCCCTGCCGAGCAGGGAGCCCGATGCGGGACTCGATCCAGGGACTCCAGGATCATGACCTGAGCCCACGGCAGTCGCCTAACCAACTGAGCCACCCAGGCGCCCTGTTAGCTTAGTTTAGCGCCATCTTTTGTATTGCTCTAACCCATAGATCTGTTTCTACCAATACTATACTGTAAGTTACATTACATAGGCTATCTTCTAATTCCTGGCAGAATTATAACTTTGTTTTTGAAGGCAGCTCTATTCCTTTTCCTTTTGTAACGCTAAAGTTTTCATGTTATTAAAAAAAAGCAAAAACCAAACAAACTCCCCCCACACACACAGTGAAAAAAATAGGTTATTTGTAAGCCTACCAAAAAAAATTACTATTTTCAAATTATACAACATATCCTTCCAGGCTTTATTTAGTGTAATCATGATGTGCATGTTGTACCATAACCTGCTTCTATCATGCTACTATTTCAGTAAGTATAGATGTTTATCATTCTTTTTAATGGTATCATAATTTTTCTGTGGTAGATTATCATTTTGCTAAATATTACTGACATACTTTATGGTGCTCACTGAAATTTTAGTTATAAAAGTTGCCTTCTAAATACAAAGTTAGTGCTTTTGTTTGTTTTTCTTTAAAAACATTACATTTCAGTGTCAAAATACTGATCAGTATTTTCTCCTTGAAAAATATTGCCAATAGTTTGTCCCATTATTGTAATCACTGTTATCAATTTGCTCTTTATCCTTCCAGACCTTTTTTTTAAAAACTATTTTTGCTTACAAATGTGTTCACACAAACCAAATACATAAATACTTGCAATACTTGTAGAAAAGTTAGTGCTGCTTTATAATTTTGTGTATGAATGTATATAACACATACACACTAATGTGTTGGATTGCTGTGAGGATTAAATGAGTTAAGAAGTGTAAAATGAGAGTAACCTGGTGGCTCAGTCGGTTGGGTCTCTGCCTTTGGCTCAGGTCATGATCCCGGAGTCCTGGGATCAAGCCCTGCATCAGGCTCTCTGCTCAGTGGGAAGCCTGCTTTTCTCTCCCTCCCTCTCTCTCTCTCTCTCTCAAGTAAATAAATAAAATCTTTAACAACAACAACAAAAAATGTAAAATGAGGGGTACCAGGGTGGCTCAGTTGGTTAAGAGTCTCTTGATTTCGGCTCAGGTCATGATCTCAGGGTGGTGAGATCAAGCTCCGTGCTCGGTGAGAAGCATGCTTGGAATTCTCTCCCTACTTCCCATGCTTGAGCTTTCTCTCTCAAAAGAGAAAAAAAGAAAATGGTTGGGATTGTTATTTTTTGGGGGGGGATTGTTATTAACATATAGTAACTATCTAGGAGATGTTATTTAATACTAGTATCAGTACCTCCACCATTATTATTATTTATAGAAAGGACTTTAACCATGTTATACACCTTAATTGACATAAAGAATTCATAATGAGAATGGCCAATGGGTGTAAATGTTCGTAGAAAAGCTTCTCACCAACATTTATTCCTTATTCAGCATAAAGTTTAAAAAGGAAAAAAAATCCTAGGATGTAAAAGTCGAGAAAGAAAAAGAATGGTTGAATGAGTCTACATTTACATCTATATTTCATGCTGTGCAATAATTTTATGCCTGTCCAAAAATCTATTTGCATATTGAGAATAACAAAATTCATTTGTCAAAACAGTAGAGAAAAATATGAAATATTTACTCAATCACTTTCCACCCAAAGTAGACCATATGTAGGTCGCATTCTTTTTCAAAATGGGGAAAAAAACTAAAATGTGATAGCCAACAATATCTGAGTATTAATAATACCCTTCCAAATAACATGAATCAGAAGGAAATCAATCCCTGAATTATATTTAAATGAGTGAAAATGAACACATTATGTAGAAAAACCTGAGAGGAACTAACTCTGTATTCAAATAAAGTATAGCCCAATAGGCATGCTGTTTTTTTTTTTCTTTTTTCAAGTTTCAATTTAAATTACGTTTAACATAACAGTGTAATATTAATTTCAGGTGTAGAATTTAGTGATTCATCACTTACATAAAATACCCAGTGCTCATCACATCAAGTGTTCTCAATACGCATCACCCATTTAATCCATCCCCTGCCCACTTCACCTTCAGTAACGCTCAGTTTGTTCTCTATTAGTTAAGAGTATTTTTGAGTTTCTAGGGATGCTGATAGGTCAAACACCAAGAGATTATTAATAAATGAACTAAATGTACAAGACAAAAAGCAAGAAGAGTAACAGCAAACTATATTCAAATATATTAAAGGTAGTAAAAATAAACAGCAAAAATAATTCAAGGAAAATAAAATTATTTCTTTGACAGCAAAGAAATACATAGAAACATTGGTAATTCTGAGGGGGAAAAATAGAAGACATGAATACATGAAATATGGACATGATTAGGAGATTATCATATTTACTAATAATTGGAAATCTAGACAAAGTATACAATATTTGTAGAAAAATGTAATTTGTCAGAAGTAGGAGGTGTAAACCCTTCATAGAGTAAAATGATAAATGCAGAGGGGAAAAGGTTTGAATATGGTTAAATAGCTGCACTTAGATCACCAAGCCAGATCATTTTATGGGCAAAATTTATCAAATATTCAAGGAACTTCAAATCAAATGAGAAAACAAGCTCACCATCTGTTTTTATGACTCTTTCATATTCCTGATGTCAAAATAACTAGATCACAAAAACATAATTTAGTATCATAGTACTGAAAGTACAGATTCATTCTAGCAGTCTATTAAAACATGCACAATCTGAACCCATTACCTGAAGTCAGAAATCAAATACTTTATTTTTTGTTTTTTAAAGATTTTACTTATTTATTAAGTGTGGGTGCACACAAGCAGGGTTGGGAGGGCAGGGGGAGCAGCAGACCCTCTGCTGAGCAAGGACCCTGAGATCATGGGCTGAGCTGAAGGCAGGCGCTTAACTGACAGCCACCCAAGGCGCCCCAGAAATCAAATACTTTAGATAAAACCTTATTATCACATTGTAAATCAGGGGACAGCAAACTAATCTAGACCACTACCTGTTTTTGTATGGCCTGGAAGCTAAGCATGATTTTTACATTTAAATTGGTTGAAATTTTTAAAAAAAAAGTAACATGAAATTATACTCAAACTTCAGTGTTCATAAAGTCATTAAAACAGAACCACATATATTCACATATTGTCTGGCTGCTTTCACACTATAACATAATTTGAGTACCTGTGATAGACCAAGTGGTTTGCAAAGCCTATTATATTTACTACCTGACCTGTTACAGAAAAAGTTTGTCAATTCTTGCTTTAGATAGTCACTTGCTAAAAAACAGAAGTCCTATTGATTTGGTTAACGTAGTATTCTATGCTCTCAGAAGCTCAGAAAACAAGTAGATTTTGGATAGCGAGGGATTCTTGAAATGCAATGAAAGATAATTCTGTGGCAATTCTGGAATTTGTATATCTAAACTCCATAACAATTGAGAATTTGAGCAAGTCCCAGCATCTTTTGTAAGGTATTTTTATTAAAAACATAATGTTATGGGGCGCCTGGGTGGCTCAGTCGGTTGGGCGACTGCCTTCGGCTCGGGTCATGATCCCGGGGTCCTGGAATCGAGCCCCGCATCGGGCTCCCTGCTCTGCGGGGAGCCTGCTTCTCCCTC